TGTGATCCTTTCTTGCCACGAAAATCTTTCGAAGCAATTTTTCAATACAAAAAATTGATAAAAAAATTTTAATTTTTCGTTTTTAATAAATATTCTTATTCAAATCTGTGACCGATTATTTAATTTTTATCTAAAATTATAAAATTAATTATCATAAAATACGAAGCCTCTGAACCAAATTAAACCTGCAATTTCAACTTTTACTTTTAAATAATAAATCAGCCTAGATCAACTCATTCATCGATACCCTTGAAATACTTTGTGTTACATCGCATTTGTAGCATTCTATTATATAGTTGTACGAGAAATGTTTCCCCTGAGTTTGCCAAACCTCCAGGTGTGCCAATTAATTATTAGCTACATCCAACAAAAAGAACTTTGCAATACACGTGTTTCAAACACCAACAAGATTTACAACAGACAGTATAACGCATTAAACAATTTGTCTTAAGTATATACAAAGTGTATATAATTTACTATAATACTACCATAAAAATTGTTGAAGACATAAACGTGACATTATATAAATACTAATAGGATTCGATATTGGTTCGCGAAATTCAACAATGATTATTCTTCGTTAGAAAATGGCATCGTAATGAGAAATAATATTACCTAAGAAATATTACTGAAAACGTGAAACTGCGAGAGAAACAGCGTTGCAAACGAAAGTAAGCCATTCTACAATTATTCGTCACTTGGCTCAAATGGAAAATGTAAAGATGAATAAATGGGTTTCTCGTGAGTTAAGCGGTATAGAGATGCTTCTGCGAATGGAGATAGCCATCTTGTTACTTCAGAGAAATAAACAGAATCCATATTTAAAACGTATCATCGCTTGTGACGAAAAACTGAGCTCGCATGATAATCGAAATTTCCAGGACTATGGCTTGATACAGGTAAGTATACCTAACAAAACTACTATTTCATCTACCTAACCCAAACCATGAACAAATTAATTTAAGAAAATATATATAAAATATACATAAAAAATGTATAACAATAAAGAAATAAATAAGATGTAAATAAAGAAAATAAAAAAAAATATAAATAAATAGATGTAAAATTAATAAAGGAATAGTCCATGTTTGTGAAGGAATAGAAAACAACCTTAACGCGCAATAGTATAAAACTTTCTTAATTAGTGATTGAAGATAAGCATAAAAATTTGAAGAATCATACGTGAAACTTTTTGTAATTAGAAAGAGTTATTTAATAAATAATTTATTGTAAATGAAGAAATTGTGGAAGCATGAGAAAATTATTTTGATCAGACTTATGATGTTACGAACAAACCCTAATCAAATTTTTATTCGAAAATATTTTCAGCAATAGTAATAAGAAAGTCAAATGCACAAATAATACTTTTAATCATAATGTGTTTCGATTCGCGTTATATTAAAAATAAAATATAATTTTTGATTAATTTAATTATAATATTATACTTTTATATAACAATTTTATATGATGGTTCTATGTTTCAAGATTTACCAATAAATACTAGAATTATCAAATTATAATATGTATCTAACTACAGAGAATATAATTGATATTAATTAGAACAGTGTGAATAATGAAATAATGAAAATAAATAAGTGTTGAGTTAAGTGTGAAAATAAGTGTTGCTTTATACATGTTTAATAACAATATATATAATATAAAAATTGATATGTATAGAAGCTAACGCAAATAATAAAACGAATATAAATTTATACTGATTAATAAATTTTCATTTAATTTAATGCTTTTCTCGAGACTTGAAATCAAAACTTTTCAAGATTGCAAGACTTTCGAAACTTTCGAATCTAGAAACTCCTGAAGCTTAAAATGCTGATTTTATTTTGCAGCTGGAATATTTCGTTTCAAAAACTGAAATCTCAACGAAAGTTTTATATATACTTTTATTAACCATAGCTAACAAAAATATTAAAATATATACAAATGTTTAAATCTAAATTTTTCTTGAAAACACTAAGATTTGAACCATGGGATGTTCATCTGTAAAAGAAAATTTTATTCTCAGAAATTTGGTAATTCTTTATGCATCAATCTTACATCTATTAATTCCCAAAATTCATAAATTTTGTTGGATTTCGACGAATTTAAAGCTTTCAACATTTCGAAATACTTGTCTCTACTTTATATCGATATTTCGTATAATAATTTTTGTTTATGCTTTACATTTACACTTTCAAAATAATCAAATTATATAGTAATTTGTACACAAATAAAATAAATAAAGAAATAAAAAGAGAAATATAAATTAACTGTCAATGACTCTGATGTTAATAATTAAAATATTAAAATTAATATTTTTATTAAATATATATTAAATTAAAACTAAATATTAATTTTATTAATATTAAATTCTAAAATAATACGAAAATAAATAAATAATGCTAAAATAAAACTACAATAAAAAGAAATAAGCAGTAAATAGTGCATGACGAAATTTTTGCAGTATGTGTTTCATAATTTATCTGTTTGTGTAACAAAAGTTACACGTGAAGTAATTGCTAAATATGTAGTTGTGACTCAAGCTAGCAAGTTACATCTTTTATTTACGTATGACAATAGTTAATTAAGTAAATTTACACATTACAAAATTATCATTACATTTATTCCACTGAGAATGCTATTTTTAAAATGGTTTCTATTATTTAACGCATTTCAGTTCAGAGAATACATGAAATTATTTGTTAATCAGTATCGTGACCTCTGCGATACATCAATCAATGCGTAGTTCGAATCTACGATACGATACTCTGCGTGGCTGCAAATTGAAAGTAGGTAGAAGCATTAATTATACATTCTAAAGTATACTGCTTCGAGATTATAACGCAGTTGAACGCGTTGATACTTCGTAATATCATAATCGGAAGGGTTTTGCACATGCTAAAATAAATCATATTCATTATTCACGTTATGTGTTCAATTAAAAATTAACATACCGCATTTAAATATTATTTGCAATTATTACAGTTTTTTTAGACTAATCGAATTGACTCTTACACATTTTTCTATTTTTGCCCTTTTTATTTTTTTATTTTTCTTACTTAGATCACAGTGACATACAGAAGATTATTTTGACTAATTTAATTTTTTAGTTAATTTTAGTGAATTTTCTTCTTATTTGTAGTCAAATTTAACGATGTCATTTAATTTGTAATAAAGATACTTAATTTTTATAACCAGGATGCTTAGAATGATACATTTAAATTTACAAGATTTGTCGCATTTTCGTTAAAAATTTTGAAAGTATAATAAAATTTTATAGGAAATCGTTAAAAAATTAGGTTTAAAAATTGTGTTCTTGAAATACTTGTATATAGTTAAAATATATTGAATGAAAATATGTACATAAATGTGCTTTAATTAAAATAATCTTATGTATAAGATTTATTAGCGATGTATATAAAGTTGGAAAAGTATCTTTTTTTTACATCGAATACTTCTATAGATTGAACATTCGTGTACATAAATAATATGCAATAATATGTTACATAATTATATACTCGTTGTTTAATTTTCAAATAAATATTTTTAGACATACGAGTCTTAAAAGTTCTTATATTATCATAAATATATTTCTAATAAATGCTACAACATTCACGTCGATGCCATTTTATGCAGTTTTTTCCTTCATAAAGTTCCCGTAGAAAATGATTTTCAGCTGACTCTAAAATATCGAGTTAAAGTCGAAATCTATATTTAGCTTGCGGTTTATTTAAAGCATTACGTGTGTTTCGTTAGATGATCAGCTAATTTTATTGAATTTTGAGAAACGAGACACAAACGGCCGTTGAGAAATAAATAGGAATGCCAAAGAAGGAGTAAATTCAAGGAATAAAAATGTGGCGTGCAATAAAAATGTTTTTTTTTCCATGAGAAGCGTGTAATTAAAAGAAGAAAATCTATGGGATAGATCGGTCACGTATAGATAAACGTCCTTGAATCTGGTGGTCCCTCGCACAACGGCAAGATATGTGAATAAACGTGTTTCGTGATGTTCCGTTAACAAAAAGAGTTTCACGAAACGGCTGGCTACTCATGAATCACGAAGATCGTAAGATGCAGGGCACACTACTAGATAACTGCGGCCCTGAATTATCCAACTTGTATGCGACGATGGTATGGCGCGTACCTCAGTACTCTCGCGTACGCAGAGGCCGTATATGGTAGTGGGCGGTAGAAGCGCGCCGATAGAGGTACGCAAGAACCAATGCGCGCGAGACGTATGCGCAAAACGAATGCTGCGCATGCGTTCAAACTCTGGAATCTACGGGTAGCTCGCCGCGGCACATGCACGGATGGTGCAGTAGAGCCGAGAATCCCGTAGCGTGTGTTTGTTTTTAATTTCGCGATCTACGATCTAACTTTTTAACCTTAACAGAATCCAACTCGTGAGAGAGGCTATATTTCCCCTCTCTCTCTCTTTCTCCCCCCTCTCTCTTTCTCTCTCCTCTCTCTCTTTCTCTCAGTGTCTAATTTTCCTGCCTTTCCCTTCCTCTATCTCTTTTCCCTTTTTCTCCTTCCCTCCTCTTCTTTCTTTTTCTTTTCCCCTTCTCTCTTCCTCTCCTTTCCTTCTCCTCCTCCTCCACATCCTCCCTTTCTCCTCCGCCTCTTCTCTCTTGTTCTCAGTCTCGCTCTCTCTGGCACTCCCTCTTTCTCTTTTCCTCTAGCTGTCCTCCCTGTTTCTGTCGCTCTTACATACTTCTCTCCCCCTCCTCCTCATCCTCCTTTTCCTCCTCCTCCTCCTCCTCCTCTTCCTCCTCCTCTTTACACACAGTTTATTGACTCCTCTATTTCTAAAAACGAGATCGGCAGA